AAAAAAAAAAAAAAAAAAACTGACAATTTGTCAAAATCAATACTGAAAACTCATTCCATGAAAGGCCCAAGGAATGAAAATTGAAAGTTATTTTTTATTATATATACAAAATATAGATGTCAAATCAAAAAAATCATCAAATTATAAATAATATAATATATTATATATGAAAAATTTATAAAAAAAATACAAAGTTTTAAATAATATCTATGTCTAAGTTAGTCAAGTATTTTATAATTCTAAATGTCACATACTAAAAATCCAAATCGACACCGTCAAATTATAATTAATTTAATATATTATATATGAAAAATTTATAAACAAAAACAAAAAAAAATACAAAGGTTTAAATAATTTTTATGCCTAAGTTAGTCAAGTATTTTATAATTCTGAATATCACATTCTAAAAATTCAAATCTACACGATAAATTCAGTACTCCAGAATTCGACATATATGGTTATTGAGTACAAATAATTTGACATAAAAGTTCTAAAATAACTCTAAATTTATATATTGGAAGCCATAAGTATGCATTGCGAATAGAGTAATACTATAAGTACATAACACTCACAATGAGTAAGACTCACCAAAAATAAGAAAAAAAATTCAAGTGAACCCCACTCCATGTGAAGTTATGTACATCTTTATGTACATTTATTATGTACTTGTAGCATTTTCCTATATAATAAAAACGAAATAACATGTCTAACGGTGAGACTCACACACAAAAATTTTATGATAAAATAAGCATTATTGGACCATAATGTTTTCCAATAACCCCCCTCTTCTATATTTGATGGAACACCGACCAACAATCACATATATTCAGTTAGTTAGGCCATCTCCAGCCCTTATCTCTGCTCCAGCGCAGACTTTACTCTACTCTAGAATAGAGTTAAACATTCGTCTACAACCCTTATCTCTACATTTTACTCTACATCAAATCTATTATTTTTTTATTCATTTTTATTTCAAATAAATTCTAATATATGTATATTTCATCTTATATTTATTTTTGGTGGTATTTTAATATTAAAAATTACAAAATAAAATTAATATACATTAAATTTAAAAGTAAAAAGATGCAAAATTAAATTTATATCACATCAATAAATAAAAAGTACAAAATTATTTAACATAATAAATACATTTATTACATATTATAGAAAGCTTACAAATATAATATATATAAAATTATACATATCACAAAAAGTCATACAAAATATATAAATAAAAGAAACGATAAAAAAAAAAAAGGGGAAGATCTAGCGCAACAACAACAGTGTTGCGCCAAATGTAGAGATATACTGTAGGTATCTTTGTTGTGGCGCAAAATTGTAGAGCCACACATATATACTTACTATTCACATGTTCAGAAATTTTGGAAGTAATCACGCCAAAGAAGGTATGACCAACACCTTCTTGAACAGAATCAAAACGGTTAAGCCTTCAGGCTTTCTCAGGACCAAAAGACCACGGCATTTACGGATCGACTGTGCGTGAAAATAACCGTCAGGCTTTATTTAGAAAAGATCACGGCATTTACGGATCGTCTACACGTGAAGTGTTAACAAACACGTTAGACGTCATGCGACTCGTGGATCGACAAACCGACTGTCTCGTGTGAAACTAATGCATAAAAACAAAAGACATTGCCAAAATGCAGTTGACAATATTATCCTGTGTCATGCATCTGCATGTGATTCATAAAAAATGGGTTCACTGAATGTAAAGAGAAAAGACATTCATTTTTTTTTTTTTTCAGGCAACTCTTCTTGTCAGCACATAGACAATGATGATTGCTATAGCTAGCTGCTCAGACCTAACTCTAATAAATGTTGTAGTCTGTTAATCTGTATGAGGATAAAAGCTCTAATAATGCTTTGCCATACCATACAAGCAATAAACGTTCGATTTTTCTGCAGTATGTGACGTGATCCGTAGGAACTATCGTGTCCGTGTGCCAAAAAACTAAAAATAGCACGATGATGAGATCTCGAAATGAAATAAAAGACAACAGAAACAAAAACACGAAAGAGATAAACAGACGAGCCACGTATTAACGACCTAAGCAAAAACTAATACTGACATGCAAGTTCTCTAAAGATGTACTCGAATGACCTAAAGATACAAGCATAAAATAGATTAGTAAAAATAAACGTATGCAAGATTTAGATTCGCAAAACGAAAGAGAATGAGGTAGATTCGCAAGATTAATCAAATAAGGCATAAAAACAATTAAGAGTTCGGGAGATCAGTCACAATCACTTCTTAGATCAAGTACTATCGAATCAAAATGATATTGATCATAAATTAGAAGAATACAAGATATCGTTTACTTTATTACGGAGCAAATATGGAGTCCGACCGATATAATGGCATTCATGCATTGATCTTAACAGTTCATACAAGAAACTACAACCCTAAGACTAAGGTTTCTTTGCGTAAGACCACGGTTTCCACAAAACGAAAGGTCGGGACTGAAAATGACATGAAGACACGGATAACCAATAAGAACATATATAGCAACACTGAAACAAATAGAGGATTATTTCATAGCCCACAGATTCCAAAAATATCATATCGATCATTACAACAGCGATCCAAGCAACTTGTCCCGACTTTATTTCTCTAAGTAAAAAGATTCGAAGAAATTAAGGACCACATAAATAGAAGAAGCCCAAAACACAAAACTCTATGTTTTCTTTGGGATAAAGCTAGATAAAATAAAATAAAAAATATATAAAAAAGAAAAAAAAAAGCCCTAATTCTCCTTCAAGTTAATGACTATTTCTTTCCAATGCAACACCAACCTCAACACCTCTCATGTTACACATCCTGGAGAAAGATTATTCAACGAAACAAATTATCGATCAAGTTTTCTTTTTAAGAAAAAAAGAAAAAGAAAAAAAAAAACTTTCTCCAGATTGCCTCAAATAAGACACATCCCAGTTCCATCTCGAGTAAAAATTAACCCAAAAAAAAAAAAAAAATCCTCCCCTATCCTCCTTCATCTCATCAGAGAAAAAAAGGCAACAAAAATCAGAAAAAGAAAAATTACCCCATTAGCAAGAAACACCGATCCATGCCGTGCCCCCAGAAAGGAAACACACACCTCAGCACCCCATGACCGCGCAGTTATAAACAAAACTTCCCGACCTCTTCCTCCCGAGCAGCTCCCACCTCGGAGGCCCTTCCCCCGGGACCCACGAATTAACCTCAATGAACCCATCCCCAGCATTCCTTGGGCCCCCCACCACAATTAACCTATCCCCACAAGCCCTAAATGCCATTCCCCATCCGTACATCGAGTCCGCCCTCTCCGGCAGCCTCCCCACTCCCACCCACACCCTTCTCTCCTTATCGTACCTCCTCACCTCCATCTCCGCATGATCCGCCGCGTAAAGCTCGTTTTTCACCACCGCTATCAGCGGTGGTGCCTCTGCCGTCGGAGGCAGCTGCGTGGGCCCCCCACCGCCCTCCCCTGTCGCCGGTTTCACCGGAGACATGTTCGGTATCTCCGTCCAAGTCCCGTTCGCCGGGTCGAACTCCTCCCCGCATGTCAGTAGCCCCGAGTCGGACCCCCCGATCCCTCCGATCACATAGAACTTCCCATCCATGAAAACCCCCGAGCACATTTTCCGGGCCTTCCTCATGCTTGGAAGCCTCGTCCACGTGCCCGTCTCAGAGTTGTACAGCTCCGCTGAGCTGAGGATGTTGCCGCCGGAGTCACAGCCTCCGGCGAGGATGGCAATCTCGCCGGAGCTGGCCGAGCCGAAGAGGCAGCGAGGCTGGTGCATAGAGGGTCCCGGCGCGGGGGCCCACGAGTTGGTGAGGAGGCTGTAGCGGTGGATGATGTGGGTGGTGAGGTCTCGGCCGAAGACGAGGAGTTCGGTGCCAACAGCGAGGGACTCCTTGTCGGCAAAGACGAAGCAGTCGTTGGAGTTCATGCGAGGGACTTGCATCCAACGGCGGCGGGCCGGGTCGAAGGCCTCCCACTCGAGCAGCTGGCAAGAGAAGTAAACCCAGTGCTCCACCACCCCGTGCAGGCGGCGCAGACGGTAGAGCTCGCCGGACTTGATAAGGGAGCGGAAGGAGCAGTTGAGGGATGCCAGAGGCCCGTAGTCAGCCCGGGAGCAACGGAGGAGGCAGCTGATGGAGTTGTCACGGCCGATGGCTGGTATCAACGAGCTCGAGTCGTGATTACTGTCACTGCCGGCCGTGTTGGTGGTGTGAATGGTGCCACCGGCAGATTGCTTGGGGAGTTTTAGAATGGGGAGGATTTGGTCGTCTTTGTTGGTGGTGTCGAGCAGGCGCTTGTTTGGCTGGATGTCGGGCTTCTCATGAAGGTAACTCATGTGCCAATTGGCTTCTCGCTCGTGCGGTCTCGGGTAGTCTCTCGAGACGAGGCAGGGACGGTCCTCCAACATGTCTTCTTGATCTAAACCGGGAGATGGGCCTATTTTTTCTCTGCTGTTTTTTTCCTTTTTCTCTCAATTACAAATAATCTGTCTCGTTTTTTTCTGTTTCTGTTTCTGGAGAATTGAAGGTCACTGCAGAAGCACGCAATCCATGAAATACACGGAAAAGAAAATGGGAAAAGGAGTTGCAAGATTTATTTGCAATTGTAGAAAATGTTTCAAGGTAAAAAAATTTTCAACAAAGATGAGAGCTTAAAATCCGGAAAATACACGAGGAGGAAGGCAGAAAAGTGGTAACTTTATGAGGCCTTAAAATCGTGATTGATCCGAGAATTTCAGTAACAGTCACAGACTCACAGTATCTCGATTCGGACAAAACTGGTAAACAACATAAGAAAAACTCGATCTTTGGGACAAACAAAAATTTACAGCAATAAAACGAACCCAAACTAGGAATACATACATTTAAAAAGTAAAAGGAACCCCAGATTTGAAGGCACCTAAACAAAAAACACAACAATGGGGATCGATCGATAGCTTTCGGTCAATTAAACATGCGAAAAAGGTCGAAAAAATCACCATAAACAGATCTCCAAAAATTAGATCAAATCACAAACACCCCAACTGCTCAAATCCTCACAAAAATTGGACACAACAATCAAATCCCAAATCTTGCATTAGATCTACCAACACAGTTAATTTTTTTGGCAGAAAAAAAAAAAACACACTAATTTCGGCTAAAACACCATAGACAGCAGTAAAAAAAAAATCGAGAATTGAACAGGATTTGGTCATGGGAAATGGATTAAACAGCAGTAAAAACAAACAAATAAAACATCTGTAACGAAAAATCAATGCAATACAAGGACTTACACAGTAATTGGATAAGAATAAATGGAGGGACTCGATTGATTTGCACTCTCAATCAAAAAAACATAAAAAAAAATCCGAACTTCCTCGGCGCTTTACAGGTATAATATATGCAATGTTCTGTAAATCAAGAATTTGTGTTCTGCTCTTTTTTTTTTTTTTTTTTTTTTTTTTTTTTTTTTTTTTTTTTTTTACAGTATATTTTGGCAGTGATTATAAGAGAAAATGAAAATCAAAGCCGAAGGGCTTTTGGTTGGGCTATGGCTTTGGGGACGTAGCTACTGTGTCTGTAAATTCGCCCCTTCTGGACGACCTCCATTTATCTCTCTATTTATTAATATTTATTTTCAATTCTATTGCTATTATTTAATTATTATTATATTGTATTTATTTAGTTCTCTTTTTTTTTTTTCCATTATTGTCATTTTTTCGTTGAATGGTAAGAATAATCGAAATTGAGAAATAAATTTTGGATCGTCCGCTGAATTAGTATAACTAGGCATTGACAATTTTTAAGAATTATTAATAATATTAATCTATTAGATCTCGTTAAATTATATTTCTATTTGTAGCTTGGTTGGTTTATTAATACTTAATTTCATTTCTTTGATTAATTGCTTTCGATTATTTAATATTTTCTATGTGGGACAATATGTCCTATCTATAATCGCAATTAAGTTTAAATGGTAGGTTCGCACGTTTCGAAATCATATTCACAATTTGTTAAGCTATGTTATTTGACTTTGATGGATTTTAATTCGTTTCCGATCAGAAAGTAGCTAGTATTGGAATATCTATAAATATATCGGCTTTGCGATGAAGCTAACAGTTGGCTCCATAGTTGAGCCAACTTTCTATATACAATAAATAAACTTACCATATTATCTGATTACTTAAATAACAATAATATATTTTTGTTAATATGGTAGATTTATTTATTGTATATAGAAGGTTGGCTCCACTATGGAGCCAACTGTTGGCTTCATAGCAAAACCGACAAATATACTGGATATTAATGGTCTTTTTTAAAAGCATTAATTGTGTTTTAATATGATTCATATTGTAGACTTGGTTTAAAATGGATAACTAGTATTCGACCATGTGCATTTGTACAAATATGAATGCATATAATATTAAAATTATAAGTTAGATAATGATATTATATTTTAAACATAGTTTACTATAAGTTATATTTATGCATATAATATTAAAATTATAAGTTAGATAATGATATTATGTTTTAAAATTTGATCATTGGTTAAAATAAATGGTACGTATCTATTTGATTGCATATGATTCACTATTATTTATTGCATAAAATGTAATAAATAATATAATATTTATAATTTTTAGGGATCATTACCAAAATTAATTTGTTGAAAAACATTAAATTTATTATAACAATTGCTTATGCGATTTTAAGGGATTTACTATGACATTAAAATAACTTTATTTTATTTAAAAAACGATCGCTTAATAAAAAAAAATATAATTAATATTGAATTTAGAATAAATAACTTGGACAAAAGGTTTTACAATATCATTGTTTATGTTTATGTAACTTTCATATATCATCTAGTGTAAAATATAATTATTAATTCTAACAATAACTATTATATGATGTAATAAAGAAATATAATTATTACGCAATCTATATATATACTTACTAGCTGATGCATTTAATAAAATATTTAATAAAACTTATTTTCATTTCCCTCCAAAATGAGTTACATTTTTTTAATTAATTACTCACTAATTGCTAAAAATGTTACGCCTTAATATATATTTTTATTATTTAATATTTGGATCAGTTACTAAATTAATTCTAAATTTGGTAGCAAAATAGTCAAATGTGTAACGACTAATGTTGGAACTTAAAGTTGGTTGGCACATTCAGAGCTGTAACCACGATATTTGGTTGCATTGTTGGAAGAAAAATATGATTGACACATATTTTTTAAAAAAAAAAATTCAGAAACACCAATATTTTATTTTTATTTATGTTAATTTTCTTAATATATGCCACAAATATGTAAATTTATTCATGTTACTAATGTACACGTCGCATGGTTAAAATAAAATTTAAATCTCAATTAATTTTTAATGATAAAAATAACTAAGAAAAAGTAATAATTTTTATACGATAGAAGTACATGTCTAATTAATAAATACAACAAAAAACGTGTTTTATATCTGTGCAAATGCACAAGATCAAATACTAGTTAATATAAAATGTAACGATTTTCGTCTTAATTAACATGTCATTTTTTGGAAAATTAGGTTGTAGCTACGATTTATGAGGTAAAATTTATTAGGTTTTATTTAATGGATTAAAAGTGTTTATATTATTTATACAATAGAAATAAATTTATTATTCGTTACCCATTGTAAATATAATATATCTTAGCATATAGCTAATAGTTGGTTGTATAATCTAATAGATATTATCCAAAATAATTCTATTTAATATTTTTTCATAATTATTTTTTGAAATGAAAAAAAAATAAAAAATTAATACTATGTTAACAAGCATATGAAATAGAGTATATGGTCAATCTCTACCTAGTGTCTAAACCTCTAATTTTAGATCTAAATTTCTATTACAAACACAATCAACCAACTTTTAGCAACCTCATTTTACCTTTATAATATCATCTAATTAATAACTATTTCAATGAATATAACATTAAAATTATATTCTTATTACTAATAAAATTTATATTAGAAATTTACTATACTTTTATATAATTTGTTAAAATATTGGTTAGTCAAATCAGCTAATAATTGTCTTTATCTAATACATTTTAATTTCTTATTATGTAATACAATTGGCTATGAACTATTCACAAATTGTTAAAAATATACTCACATAAATATCCTCTCTATATATAATTCTCAAATGCGCTGAGCCTACGTGTCTGCTTCTGGTGCTTCGGAATCCTACTTGACGAAAAATCATGCTTCGTAATTAGGTTTGGACAAATAATATTGATATATTAATAATTAATAATCTATGTTTGGACATTCCATAAATATTATTTAGCTAACTTAGGTATTTTAATATCACTTGTACTAATATAACCCTTTAATTCATTGTAATTTTACATATTGAGACACTAAGTGACTAATATATCCCTGACTTTTGATTTGTTTCCTTCAATTAGCTATTGAATTGTAAATGTATTTTAAAAATTGATAACTTTTGTATTTCTATCGGTTTTACATATATAATATATCAAATTAATCATCTTTTGATGATCTTCGATTTGACATCCATATTGTATATATTGAAATAAATAAATTATATTTATATTTATAATAATAAAAAATAATTATATTTAATAAAATTCATTAGAAAATAAAATTATTTCTCAATTGATATATTTATGTTTAATGTAGTTATATGTTGTAAGTTAAAAAAGATTATTATAATATAACACAGGTAAGTCGCACAAATAAAAAGTGTCATACTAAATATATAATAATATATATTTTTATAAAAGGTATTTAAATTTTTAACTATTTTTCTCATTAATTTTAGATTTTAAGAAAAGAAATTAGCAAGCGCCCGTGTAATACACGGGTATTGTACTAATATAGTTTGTAATACATAAGTTTGATTTTGTTTATTCTACATGTGAGCAAAAGTATAACACTCAATCACTTTTATTTTCCTTCATCAATCTTGTTTGAACCCAAAACGATTTTATATACATATAAAGCGTTTTCTTGAATATCTATAAAAGTCAAGAAACGAGAAAGAATCAAGATACGATATGGTTATTTAACATGTAAATGTTTATAGTATCAATTCTGATTATAACTGCTCGTCATTGGTTAATTATATTTCAGTAGGCTTGCACTTTTTCAAAATATATGTATATTTTATTATTGAAATCAATAGTATGTTTTCTATATGAGTGCTATATTTTTTTTTTTTTTTTT